TCAGCTCTCTGCCATTCTTTGGCTCTTTTTGCAGGAGAAGGTTTGTCCATTCCAAACACATTGAGGTCCTTGACTCTGGAAGCCTTCATCCATGATCAGCCCTTTTCCCTTGTCCTCGTCCGTCCGTTATCCAGATGTTAGCCTCCCAGTTTGGCTCAGGGTTGTACAGCATGCTGTGTGCCACCTCAGGAGCCTAGTGAAAGGTGTTTTTCAGTCTTCTCCAACTTCCCTAATAACGGAGACACGGGTGCCTGGGACATAGCCAGGCTCCTTCTAAAATCCTTGACCCTACTTCTTTGCTCATGAGTCACTTCCTGTACCCTGGGACTAGTGAGTTTGTTTGTCTGGGTGGTTGCTTTACCTTGTGTGAGTTCCTGGCGTGTGTGTGGGAAGGAGGACTGAGGTGGGGAGAACAGGGACCTGGAGTTGGGGCCCTCTGGTGTTGACTTGGGGGGCTGAGCAGAGCCATCTCTTCAGAACCAGGTGAGTCAGGAAGGGGCTTTGTTCATACCATGAGGACAAAGGGCAGGAAAAACACAGCGCATGGGGCAGTGCGGTTGTGTCGTAGGTCAGGGCACACTGGTGTCTTTAGGAGTTGAGGGGATTGCATTCTGCTCTGGCTTCGATCTGCCTTGCTGCTTTTATTGTCTCAAGCTCTGTGGCCTCCCAGGGTGTAGGGACTGTGAGGGAAACAAATCAGGAGACAATCAGCAGGTATATGAGATCTCCAACCCCTCAGGAGCGTCCACTCCTTCAGACACTGCTTTGTTAGACATTGTGTTCAGTGTCAAAGTTGTAAATCATGAGCAAACCTCAGAAGGAGACCCCCCGCCCCCCGCCAATAGAGCCCTTGTTGACTCAATGGCTCAGCCCTCTGTTGCCTAAAGTAGCTTCGAGGAACCTCATTTTACTGGGCTCCCCTCCCGCCAGAGCTAACAATGGCTCTTTCTTGTGCATCTCATCAAAATCCCTGGCGCTGCTTTACAGGGTCTTAGAGAACAGGCTTTACTGGGCTTCTCATTTTCTACTCCACACAATCATAGGCTCTAATTCTTCACTGAGCCTGGCCTTTCTGAGAGGGAACTTTGAACTTGCCCGGCTGTAAACCGCAGTGAGGCATGCCCTCCCTATAAACGCTGCTGTCTCTCCTCTCCTTCATTCATTTTGCCTGTTAGTAAATTTCTCGTCATGACCCACAAAATAAATTTCATGATGTCTCTATGGGTGGAGGGGACTCCCAGCTAGACTAGTTAGCTGGGTGAATAGACAACACCTCATGGAAGCCAGTGTGAGCCCCGAGTCAATGAGAGAGCTGGCCCTTCTCCCAGTGTAAGCTCTTCAACTGTATGTGATGATGGCCACTCAAATCAAGCTAGGCATCGTGGATTCTAGAACTTTAAAGCCTGAGGCAGGAGGAGGATCAGAAGTTCAAGGTCAGTCTGCATTATTATTTAGTAAGACTGTCTCAAAACCCCAAATCCAAACCAGAACCCCTGCCAAGAAATTAGTCAAAAAGCGTACAGGGGTCATACCTTCCATTTTTTCAAATTGTGCAGTTAATTTTTTTTTACATTTCTCAAAACATAATTGTGCCTCCAACTCCATTGTGTTTGGCTACTTGTGTATTTTTCTCTACCGGTGCACTATGTGACCACATACTCCCAATCTCCATTTTAAAGGGGTGGGGCACAGATGAAAGAAGCCATGTTTTAAATGGCGTGCAAGTGGATGCCTTTCTTTGGGCGGATGAAGACCAGAAAGCATAAATACCCACTGTGGAAGATCAGGATGGGGGCAGCAGCCGTGGTTGGTTGTAAAGCTGTTCTCACATTGTGTGGATAATCTTATTTGTTTTCTGGCACTTGGGAGATAGCTCAGTTGGTAGAGTGCCTGCCTCTTTCAGATGTTTGAGGCTCTTGGTTCAGTTCCCAGCACTGCCCAAACTGGGTGTGGTGAAGAAGGTTACAAGTTCAATAGCCCTAGGCCACTAGAGCCCTCTTTCTGGGCCCTTTCATAGCACCCCACTCTCCGGCATGCTCTGTCCCTTATATTTATTATATATCATATATTGGTCGAACGTTTTCATTCTTACCCTTTGTACGCTAATCTTGATACCTCCTCCATCTCCTGCCTTAGCACTGTGGAGAAGACTCAAGCGCATCTCTTATTGAGTGAATATTTATTAGCCCACAGTTATTAGGAGCTTGGCAGAACTCGTTCTACTTACCAAGCGTGGTGTCTTGCCCTGATGTGTACCTGCCCTGTAGCCAGCAGGCTGAAGGCTGTGCCAGGATGCAGAAGACTCCTTAAGAGATCTGGTTTGCAGGCCTGCCTTCTTCCTCATAGATCACACTGTAGCTTCTGGCGGACAGTCAAGATGGGAAGGGTCTTCAATAACCATGAGTAACTTCACGAAGTGCTGAAGGGCAACTAGGAGGGATTACAGCTGTGAGGCTTTCCTTTCTTTTTTTAATTATTTATTTATTATGTATATAATATTCTGTCTGTGTATATGCCTACAGGCCAGAAGAGGGCACCAGACCCCATTACAGATGGTTGTGAGCCACTATGTGGTTGCTGGGAATTGAACTCAGGACCTTTGGAAGAGCAGGCAATGCTCTTAACCTCTGAGCCATCTCTCTAGCCCCCGAGGCTTTCCTTTCTTAACAGCTCCAGAAAGGGCTGCTGGGAACTTAAAATCTGGATTCTTTCCCCCTGTGACTAGGCTTGTTCAATTCTCATGCTTGTCCTTTTCATTTATGTAAATCCTCATTATTATTTATCTCCCCACTCCTGCCATCCCGGGAAGAATGTGGGAAGCAACGATCTTTGAAAACTCTGCCTTTCGGTGAGAGGGTGTCATCTGTCCTATGTCTGCACCCACACTGTATCCTGACTCCTGTATCTGTCTTTCCTGTAAGGAGCAGAGAGAAGTACAGGGGCAGGCCATCCTCTCCTCCAGAGTTCCATGGCATTCCATGCAAACCTCCCATCCTGGCCTTTCCGAGGCTATTTATGCTTTGCTTCCAGACTTATGCCTTGCTTGCCAGTACTTAGAAATTCTGTTTGGTTAGGACACCAGAATAAAGTGGTATTTGTAAGGGAGGTATTCTCTCTACTTAATCTTAAGGTGATAACACACTCTTAAGTGTCCCTTTGCTCCTTTCTGCGTAAGTATCACCAGAGCCACTCTTAAGTCAGTGCCACTGTGTGCCAGCCACCGGCCACACGCATTTCACATGTCTCCCTGTTTGATCTGCATGACCACCTGTGATAGGATTACAGGCATGCATTTGAATCTACAGGAGTCTTCTCTTGATTCTATAACCTGTGTTCAGGGAGACAACTCCTCTTGCTGTGGTCTAAATACTTTGTGTGTAAGATGGAGCTGATGATACCCATCAAACTGTACTGTGCTGGGGACTAACTGTGTTTCAAGTCTTTACTTAGGATTGACCCTTCCTATTTCATATGGTGACAGGGTAGAACCCAGGGTTTTGTGCATGTAGGCACATTCCACCAGATGACCTACATCTGCAGCTCCCTCCTGTGGTATTTCATGTAGGGTTTTTGTTTCTGTGCTGGGAGTTGAACCCAGAGCCCTATCTACACTAAACTAGAACTCTAGCTCTGAGCTTATCCTTAGCCCGAGGCAGTACCTTTAAAGCTGTTTTATTGAGAGATTCCTCATATTTTGTCAATAATTTAATGGTTTTAGTCTATTCACAGTGTTGTGTAATTAGTACTATTAATTTTAGTACACTTTTGTCACCCAAGGAACAAATGGTGTATTTTCCCATTACCACCTTCTCCCTCTCTTCTCTCCGGCTCCTGGCAGCTCCTCATCTACTCTCTGGCTCTCTGTGTTTTCCTATTCTGAATACTACCTGTGTGTGGAGTCACATAATGTGCGTTCTTCTGTGTCTGGCTTCTTTCATTTGGAGTGCTCTTCTTAAGGTTCATCTATGTCACAGCGAGTGTTAGTACTGCTAGGCTTTTTGTTGACAGGCAGTACTTTTACAATATACTATACGGTTGGGAAATCCAAATTCTGACTTGCCCAAATGATTTTTTTTTTTCTGGTCAGGTAGCCAGTCAGAAGCCACTGGATTTCTAGTACAGTTTGCCTAATGCCAACCCCTCATCGCCCTGGAACCGGAGGGCTTCATCCTGAGAGTAATCTACTGAGAATTTTTTGTGGGTCAGCACATTAGTTACTTGTCTTGTTTCTGTGGCCAAATATAGAATCAACTTAAGGGAAGAGTAGTCTGTTGTCATGGTTGGAGAGGATGTTGTCCATCTTGGTAGGGAAGGCATGACCGTGAGAGCATAGCTGCTTGGTCACGTGGTGCTCCCCATCAGGAGCCAGAGAAAGATGAATGCTGATGTTCCTTTGGGTTTCTCTGTTTCCTTTTGCATTTAGTCTGGGATTCCCAGCCCCTGGGTGGTGCTGCCCACATTCAGGATGACTCTTCCTCAGTTAACCCTCTTGGGAAATGCATTCACAGTGTCCTGTAGGAGATTCCAAATACCCTCAACCTGCCAGTGAAGACTGGCTGTCACAGTCAGGGACTATACTGAGTATCCTGGAATGCTGTTTCCTTGTGTTCCTTCAGTATCACCTTCCAATTGGGAAATCCTGGTCACCGTGACTGGGAAATGGCATTTTTTTTAATAGCTTCTATTGTATGTTTTTTAAATTAATGCAAATGTACTAATATTTATTTAACATTTTTTATTTGTTTGTTTTATGGTGTGTGTGTTTTTGTCAAGGCATACATGGTGATATCAGAAGACAGCTTGTGCCAGTTAATTGTCTCCTATCGTGGGAGACCTGGGGATCAAAGTTAGGCTGGCAGGTTTGGTCGCCACTGTCCTTACCAGCTGAGTCATCTTGTCAGCTTTCTCACATCCATTAATCCCAGTGTCTTCATCTGATTGGGCTCTAGAACTTTTCTAGGCGAGAGATGCTAAAAAAATAACCGTGTTCATTTCTATAGGAGCTGAACATCACTTGAACCTGCCGAAAACGGGGGACCCCTCTGAGGAACCCTTGCCTTAGCCTGGACCTGCAGCATCATGGTTTTCCATTTCACAAGCTGTCTCAGGTGAGCAGAAAACTTCTTAAAAACAAAAGCAGCAGTTGGGGTGTGCTCTGTTCTATGCCCTTACCCAACATTTCCAGGCTCGGGATTCAGTCTATACTGGAGCAAAAAAGCATATCCCCTTGGCCCAAAATGGAGTTGGATGTTTCTATTTTACTGTATGGATTCTTGAAGTAATTGACCTTCTGGTTGTGTATAGCAATAGCGTTTGATATAATAGTCCAGGAGGCCTGCGGTTTTCTGCAATTCCGAAGGCCCATCCAGGCCAGGAGCTACACGCTATAGGACAAGGTCCAGGTGGCTTAAGCTCTGCTGTTTTCTGGGAAACTCTGTGATTCCAAACAAAATTTATTTTTAGGTAAATAATGGGATTATATCAGTGAATATTTATCTTATCTTATGTAATGAGATGATCCAAGAAACTTGAAAAGTATTATGGTCTCCTATGACCACAGGTTACCCTGGTTACAACTCCACAGAGTTTGATTTAACCTGTCTGGTATCATTACTACCCTGGTCCGTTCTGCTCACAACTTTCATGAACTTCCACTTTAATTCTAAAACCCGCTTCTGATGTTAAGTATGTGTATATTGTAAGTGGAGTAACTACTGCTTTTTTACTTTGTGGATCAGAAAATCAATTCTCAGAGACATTAAATTACGGACATGAACTTGTATTATCTACAGTACCAAATAAACTGGGCTTGGTTGCACGTGGCTATAATTTCAGTACTCAGGAAACAGAGGCAGGAGGATCAGAAACTGACTCTGTAGGTGAGGCCAGCCTGGTCTACACAAGATCCTATTTTAATAGAATAAAATAAGCAGATGGGATTTTAAAAAGTATTTAATCAGAGTCAGTGAGATGGCTCAGCAGGTGAAAGCATTTGCCTTGCAAACCTGATGACCTAAGGCTGGTCACTGGAATGCAAGGTGAAAACAGAGAATTGACATCTGGAAGTTGTGCGCTGAACTCCACATGACCTCTGTAGCATGTGAGCACATGCACACACGCGCGCACACACACACACACACACACACACACACACACACACCAATAAAGATGAATTTAAAAGTTATTTCATCAAAATCCTATGTGAGATCTCAATATATAGAGTAGATGGCCGGGTTTTATTGATACAAATGAACTCCCTAGGAACAAGTTTGTAACATTTACACATTATTGTCAGATCAATGAATCTGTTGTTATAGACACCGACAATTGGAGTCAGGATTCCTGGTTGATTCTTGCACATCTTCCTCACACTGAGTTTACTGCGTGGTTGTTGTAGCTACTCTGTCTCCTGAGCCTCCTGAACATCCCTCGTAAGTTGTTGGCAACTCTGATGAGGTCACCCTGAGGTTTGGGGATACTCTTTACATAAGTTGATTGACAGTCGGGACAGAGGGAAGGAAGAGCCTGCTGTCTCAAAGCTGCATCTTCAGGGTGTTTTACAGTCTTTCTTCCTCTCTAGCTGTGCATTAGCCTCAGATGCCGACAACTCATGCTAAAAATGCAAACGGTCTGTGACATGTTATGATGTCACCACGTGCAATTGCCCAGCTAGGCTGCAACATTTGCCAAGCAGATGCTTCAAGACTCATACTTGGTATTTAATTGAATGTAGTGTAGTGTGTGTGCGTGCATGCGTGCGTGTGTGTGTGCGCACGCGCTTGCTTTAGTATGTTGTTGCTTGTAAAATTTTACATGAACAGTCATGTGCATGCTTGAAATACAAAGTCCCACAAGAAGTACAAAACTATGCATTAATGTCATGGCCACACATATGTCAGGTAGCAAGAAGAGAGGGCAGAAAAGCTTTGTTTTTGACCTGTATGATACCCAGCCATCAACAGGACAACCTAAAGCTTAACACTTCAAAATAAAACTTGTTTTGAAACAGAGTCTTATATAACCTAGGTTGACCTTGAATTCTCTGTGAAACTAAACTAAGGATGGCCTTCAAAGTCCTGTTCTTCCTGATGCCACCTCCTAGTGCTGGGATTATATGTGTGCACCACCCTGTCTTGGTTTTGGGGTTCTGAGGGTGGACCCCATGACTTCATGTCTACTAGGCAAGCACTCTATCAGCTGAGCTATTAACCTCAAACCTTAAATGCTATTTCTAAACACACAATATGCGCCAAACATATGGGAGACCCCAAAATACTGCTGCAGAGCACCAGAGGAGTGGGAAGTGAAGGCAAAGTCAGGCCGGCCTCAGGCCGCTTCTGCAGCAGAGCTGGGCACAACAAAGTACAAGCGATAGTCGGATACTGAACTGGATGGGAAGAGCAAGTAGGAGATAGGAGCGGACTCCCTACCTGACAAGCGGGTGTGAGTGTGCTGTCATCGAAGAGGCACTCCGGAAGACGTGGGGATCCTCAAACACATGGCCACCCAGGCTACAAAGCAGAGCACTTCCTGGGAAGAGGCCTATTTGCTATGTTTTCCTTCACATCCTGGAATTCGAATGGTTGCCCCTCCTGCATTGGTCAGAGCAAAAAGACTCTTTTGGCAGGTCTGCTTGGTGGATGCTTCTTCATGGGTTCTGCTGTCAGGGTTGGAGGAGGAAAATGTGAGTTATGGGGCTGGGCCGGTGGCTCTGCAGGAGCAGAAACTGGAGTTTCCCGGCAAAGCCCTGCCTCAGAGCCAGACACGCATCACTCACTGTATGTCTTTTAAAAAATGGTGTGTGTATGTGTGTGTACATGAGTGATCCCACACATCATTCCTCTAGTGTCACGTGTTTTATTGAGGAGCCATCTCACCATCCCAACTTTTGTGTACACGTTTTTCTTCAGGCCCATTTCAATATATTTTATATTTTACAAGCAAAACAAACCCAGAGCTATATAACACCTTTAATTGAAATGCTTTTCAAAATATTCTGGAGGAAGAGAGTGTTCCGATAAGAGCGAGAAGTCTCTGACAAAGTAGAAGAGGAGCAGGCACACGTGCTTCATTCAGGCAGTTTCTGTGCTTATCAAAGCAACCAGCTTCGTGGAGATGGGTGCGAAGAGTCAAGGGATCTCTCTATGCAGAGGGAAAGCAGGTTGCAGTTAGACATGCGCTGCCCAGAAAAATCTCTGAGAGGAAAAAACATTCAAGGGGATTCACAATACCGACACACAGAGATTTAGTTTAAAAATCCTTCCTCAGTCTTTGCCAAGCCACAGAACAACAGAAAGTCAGCTTCATCCACATTGAAAGAGACAGCGAAGCCCAGGGATTAGCACAGACCCCTGCTCTGCTCCCAACTCTGGTAATGAAGAGACTCCTAGTCAAAGCCAGTAGCAGGAGATGCATTAAAGTTCTAACCCTGAATGAGCTGGGTAGCTGGTTGTTAAGTCCTGGGTAAGCTCCGGATGCACGGGAAAGCTATGGAGGAGCAAAATCCCTTTGGATCAAAAGGCTGAAGGGAGCTAGATCAAGGCAAACTTGTCTGTATTTATTTCAAGTCAGAAGGAAAATGTGCTAACTGACACACACAGAAGGGCTTGTATCTCTTAGACTTCAAATCACTTGCCCTGTGTATGTATGCATTTGTGTGTGTTGTGTGTACATGTTTGTGTGTACCTATGCACTCAACTGTGTCTGTGTGTATGGCGAAGGAGTGTGAAGGTCAAAGGTCCGACCCAGGCGTCTTCTAGTCTTCTAGGCCTCCACCTTCCTCGTAGAGACAGGGTGTCTCACTGAAGCTGGATCTGGCTGATTGCACTAGACTGACTGGCCGGGCCAGAGGGAGCCTCCACTCTCCGCCTTCCCAGTACCAGGATTGCAGATGCTTGCTGCCGTGTCCTCCGCTCCTGGGTTTTTATGTGGGTGCTGGGAATTTGAACTCAGGTCTTCAGGCTTACACAACAAGCGCCTGGCTGACTGAACCATCTCCCTGGCTCCACCTCCCCCACTTTCTCACTGTAAAGCTTAGCCCTCCATGATGATGGCATAGCGAGCTGACCCTACCAGCCAGCAGCCCGTGAGTGCCGGAGCGGCAGGTGCTCTCCGCATCTCCGGTGCTTAGCAGAGCTGACAAACCTCACGTTTCCAATGAAAACACAGGCGGAAGCAAAACTACTAAATGCCAAGGAGGTGGTTACATTGGCAGGAAATAGAATGGATTTGGCCGTTTTTATTTTGAACGGTAGTTTTTGAAGAAATGCAGATGTAATTAGGGCCATTACAGTGAGATGGTGAATTTTATAGGTCTTATGGAGGAGAGGTCTGGATCATTTTAAGGGTTTTACAGTCCATGGCCTTAGGTCAAGTGTCTGGTTTTAGTCTTTGAAAACATCAGCTTCTCCTTTCCTTGATATACACTCCAGTAAAGTATTATTACTTTAAGCCTGTCAGCCATTCCACTTAGAAATACAACCCAAAGGGATTGAGGAAATGAGAGCGAGAGGGGTGACTGCTCTTGGGGCCTCTTGGGGACTCTGAAAAGGGCCCTGAGGACAGATGTGAGGGGATGTGGGCTCAGAGATTGTTTGCCTGTGTGTGAGAGCGTCCAAGATGGGGCTGGATGTTTGAGGTGCAATCAGTAGTGAACAATCCAGTCTCCCCTGGGGTGAAGAAATATGTGATAATTGGAAAGGTCAGGGGTCAATCACTCTCCAGTTTTGGGGGGGGGGGAAGATCAGGAAATGAGGAGGAAGAAGAGGAGGGAAGTAGAGAAAACGAGAAAGGGGTGATGTGGGATTTCCTCTCTGTACCATTGATTAATAAAGAAACTGCTTTGGACCTATAGCAAGGCAGAACTTAGCTGGGGGTGGGAACTAAACTGAATGCTGGGAGAGAGAAGGCAGAGTCAGGGAGAAGCCATGGGGCCACTGCTGGAGACAGACATGCTTAAACTTTGCTGGTAGGCCACGACCTCATGGTGATACACAGATTAATGGAGATGGGTTAAATTAATATGTAAGTGCTAGCCAATAAGAAGCTAGAGCTAATGGGCCAAGCAGTGATTTAAATAATATAGTTTCTGTGTGATTATTCGGGGCTGAGCAGCCAGGAGCCAAGCGGCCTCCAACAACAAAGAGGAAGTAGAGGGAAAGGAAGAAAAGGCCACTGAGTCAAGTTTTTCAGTTTCCTGCTATTTCAGAGGCAGGCCAACCAGGCAGTACCTGCAATTATAGCACTCGGGAGGCTGAGGCAGGAGGATGGGAAGTTGAAGCTGTTAGTCTTCTGCTGTCACTTTAAGAACTAACCACGCCCACCCAGCCACTTCTGACCTCCCCTTCACCATCTTTCTCTCTCTCTTGTGTGGTTGTCTCCTGTCGTGTGCATACGTTTTTCTCTGTCTCTGTGTCTTTATGTCTTTATATTTGTCTATCTCTGTCTCTCTGTTTTTTTATTTTTTTTAAGTAATAAATGTTTACCCTTATGTTTATTTACTATGTCCTGTGAGCCTTTTATCCACCGAAACCGCCCGCCTGACTCCCCTGGCTGCATGGCGTTGCAGGGACTCACGGCCATCCTTGCCGGACTCCGCGAGCCGCCCGGGACATCCCATCATCATATTCTTTTTAAAAGAACAAAAGAAGCTGCAGGAGACCCTATCTTAAAAACAACAACAACAACAAACCCTTAAATCAAGCAAAGCAAACAAACAAAAAGTCAGACTGGGATTTGTGCCAGCTGTCACCTAAACCGCTACTTAGGTGACACTCAGTAAATACATCAGAGTATCGAATGAGGGGCAGACCAGCAGTGCAAGGGATAACCCATCTGGCTAGGGCTTGTAAGATGAAATACCGAACACAAAGCAATAATTATCTTTTATATGAAAGAAATTAGGACGAACTTCTATTCCTGACCAGGATGATCAGTGTCTTAATCACAAACATAGGCGAAAGCATGGAAACCGTAGAGGGACACACCTTCTGCAGTGTAAACTTAAAACACATGTAAGTCCTCACAGAGACTGTTTTCATGTGGGGCCAAGAGCATTTCTTTGCGCATGAAGCCCTGGCTGTCTTTTTTGTGCAAACCACACCCGTAGGCGTTATCTGAGGTTTCCACCTTAAAGCCGGGTGAGAATTTCAAGACGTTTGCAAAGCACTCTGAGGACAGAGTTAGTCTAGGTTTTAAGGGTTTTTTCTTCTGCCCTAATCATCTGCATTTATCTCATCCACACCTCATTTGCCAGCGATTCCCTCTGCCTTGGCTGCTGGCCTTATCCTGAGTCTTTCCACAGCCTTCAGCTCACTTTCTAGAGACAACCATCAAACATCCCTGCTGCTGTGTTCTGATTCACAGCTCCGTGGACCTCTAGGGTATTCTGTGTAATCCAGAGCAGTGCTAGCTACCAATGCAAACAGGCTTGGGAACGGGGGCTTGTGAGTACTACCACGCTAATGGGAAAAGGCCAGACGTAAGTCCAGGAAGAACCTACTGGACGCTCATATGTGGATTTCTGGTGGGAGCCATCTGACGGCAGGCACAGAGGCCAGAGGAAATAAAAATGCATCTCTGGAGGGCTGCCCTGGCAAAGCCTACCTATAAAATGACGGCAAGCATCCAGACGGGATTGATTTTGCCTTATGCCTGGCACAGCCCTGTACCTGGACCCTGTCCTCATCACTCAGTGCTTGATTGTGGGATTTGCTAGAACATTCTGTACTGAGATGGAGTTGAATGGTGTCAAGGTGTGATCACTGGGTTGCCAGCTAGCCGTTCCTTGCCCCCCCAGGTAACTGCTTTGCTGTCCCCCTCAGGAGTTAGAACCAATTGCTCTAATTTGTAGGACTCTATTAGCTTACCTTCCTTTTACTAACTTTACCGTCTTTCCCATGGGGAATTATCGGGTGCATTAAAAAAACAAAAACAAAAGCTGAGCCTATTGGTGGTGGTGCACTCCTTTCATCCCAGCACTCTG